AAGTACTTTAAACTGTATAAATAATGTAAAATTAAATTGATTTAAACTGCCAATCATACGAATGTCTGCCTATGAATAAAGTTGAGGCAAATTTGCCCATTTAAGGGATAAAAATAGAAAAATATTAATAATCACTAATCGGCTAGTGAACGAATAATAAAGCGAATAATGAAACACCAGCTTTATTTTACTATGTGAAACCTTAATTCTAAAAATCACTTTAAGCAATACAATACGTACTAGCGGAATGTTTTCCTATATTATTACGGCATTACGGTATTTTAACACAATACTACAATAGCATTATAATATTTAGATACAACAGCATTAATATTTCAACATAACGACATAATGGCATGCATTACAGTTTTACGGCGTCATTACCGTAAAAGTTCATATACAAGATCCCCCCAAAATAGTAGACCAACCATGAATTAGACCCGGTTGCAAACCACAGAAACTTTATTAATTAAATGTGGTTTTTTCAAAAAGTTAGAATGTCTATTATAAAACGGTTTAAAAATTGGTAGAATGAAATAGACCCATATGAACTTTTACGGTGCAGCGTTTTGGCACAAAATAATTACGGCAAATAATACGGTACATGCCATAAACCGTATTAATTTACCAAATTAATTCTACCACAAACGCTAGCCATACTGTAATAAAGGTAGAATTAATTCTACCACCAACGCTAGTCATACATTATTTACAGTAAGAGGTTAAATTAGTATTCATACTCGGAATCTGCTAAAAAATCATAAGATCCAAAGTGGTTTTCACATGATAAATATATCAAAAAACGACGTATGTCGCAATCGAATTGTATAAATAGCACTTATCAAAAGACTAGTTTATATGCTAAACGTTAAATTTAAGAATGGTTCTATCACGCACGATTCGTATTTATATAGCAATTGCTCTCACTAGCGTGTTCTTTCTTGCAGAAATAATTATTGGATACTGGACAAACTCTTTGGCATTAGTAACAGACTCTTTTCATATGCTAAATGATTTAATAAGTTATTTAATCGCATTATACGCTTTTAAGGTAATCAAAAAAAAAAAAACAACCTATATGTATTCTAATATATGAAAACTTTGCTAATTCATGTAAATTCACTAAGCTCGCTTCCGCTACCACAATTTCTTCAAGATATTCATATGGTCGGCAACGAGCAGAGGTTTTGGGTGGCTTCATAAATGGTGTATTGCTTCTTAGTTTGTGTTTAAACATATTTATAGAGGCAATTCAGCGTTTTTTTATCAGCCAAGGTATGTTTCCTTTATTTTCGTGTCATCAATTACCCGAAACGAAGGATTATCTATGGAGTAAAGAGTTTCTGATGATCCGATGTTTTTCAAATGATAAGAATTTTATAAGTTAATCCCAGTTTAATTTATATGTGTCATTCTATAAATATACTATATAAACATCAATATAGAAATAAAAAATGTAATGTTGATTTTATATATGGGATTGGCTGGATTGGCATCAAATATACTAGGACTTTTTCTGTTTCATGGTAAGTTGTCTTACTTAAATTGATATGATTGGCAAGTAATAATAGTACCATTTTTGTTGTAGAACATAGTCATCATGGACATTCACATTCACCTTCAACAACTTCGGAACGAACCTCAAAAATGTCAACAATTGATGCACATGAAGAAGATTCAATTGAATTACAAGAAAGAGGTGAAACAAACCGTTCAAGTCATGTGGCACACACGAATAAACACGAGAATTCGCACAGTCATCTTCATGATAATCACAGCCACCAAGATCATAATATGAAAGGTCTGTTTCTCCATGTATTGGGAGATGCATTGGGTAACATAGGTGTAATTGCCTCAGCATTGTTTATCCGATACACGAATTTTGAATGGAGACATTACGCCGATCCGGCAGTCAGGTAAGCGTTCTTTACAGCTGTTCTCATAGATCCTGGACAACTGAAAATTTTCTGATGGCTGGATCGATAAGTTACCGAGTCGAAATCAATAAGTAACCGACTTCGGCCGAACTCAAACTTATCGACTCGGTTATCGGCAATTTTTTCAGTTGTCCCAGAACAAAGCTGTGATGCAAACGACTTGGACCGAGCCGCGAATTCTTGATGCCGACTCTAAAAGCCGTGAGCCGACGTATTTGAACCACATGATCATTGACCAATATTCCCGAATATTCTACGGACAGAGCTTAGGGACAGATAGGGACAGAGCAGAATCATGTGATTGGTTAGTTAGCGGTTAGGGTTTATGGATTTTAATAATATCATGTGATTCTGCTCTGTCCTTAAGCTCTGTCCGTAGAATTTCCGCAATATTCCACCGCATAAAAATTTCGCGGGCACGTGATTATATGCGCTAAAATTCCATTGGCCAATTTAAACCGCAGATCGTCATTACATTTTTCGATTAAAAAATTCTCTTATATATAACAAAATTTTGCAAGGAATTTTTTTTTAATGCACAGAAGGTGATTTTATAATAGAAATTTTGAGTTATGGACTTTGTTTTGTTTTCACGTTACACCTGATCCTGTGTCGTAATTGGCTTAAAGTCACGTGTCCGCGGACTTTTTATGCGGTTACTATGTAATAATTATATTCCTCGCATTGATCATGGTAGGGCTAGAAAAATTTTATTTACGCATTATTCTTGATAGGGACTAAAAAAAAACCTGAGGCAGATTTCTCCTCATATACTGTACTTAGATATAGTTTTTAAAACCTTATCAAGAACAGTATGTAAATTAACTTTTGGTTTCTTACCCATCAGGAACGGTATTTTTACCCTCAGTGATAAACATGTAATTGGTGATGACCGAATCGATAAGTTGTCGATTCGGTCACCGTGGGATTTATGATAATAGCTGCAATTAGATTAACGGCTCGGCTCGAAGTTGGTCGAGTTTACAGTAAAAATGGCACGTCTTTGGTTTCAGAGCCGAAGGAACGTGTATCATACCAATAGACCTTTTTTTTCTGATCACCTTTTCTATTACAGTATGATGCTTACGATAATTATATTCTCGACCACACTGCCATTTGGTATGTTGCTATCAATTGAATATCTTGGGATCATCAGATTCAATTAATGCTATCGATATGTAAATATTATAGTTTGTAGAGCGTCTTCTGTCCTTTTGCAAGGTGTTCCATTCGGAATTCCCATGGATACTGTGCGTGATAAAATCCAAAGAGTAAGTATTCATAGTTTTACCGGCTGCAAAAATAAGTAAAACAACAACAACTTTTGTAATTTGGGAAACGTTCTTGTCAGAGGTCTAGGAAATGTCTGGATCACGTTTTTTTGCATTTGAACAAATATTTATAATTTTTTTTTAGGTTTCCGGAATTTTATCCGTTCATGAATTACATGTGTGGCAACTTTCTAATACGAAACATATTGCCTCTGTTCATGTCAGATTGTTACCATCTGTTGATTATATGGGTTTAATTACCAAAGTTAAAAATATACTCCATACGTATGGTATACACTCTACGACCATACAACCAGAATTTGAAGAATTGGCATGTATTTTTTTGTCTGCTTATTATTATACTGTCAATTTATTAACCTTTAAGAATTTATTTTTTTAGGAGAACAATGAGTCATCGTGTCTTCTACGATGTAAGGATGAGTCATGTGTGCAAAAACTGTGTTGTTCAACATCGTAGACTGTCTGAAAAAGTGAAATGTTTACAACTAATATAAATACAGTATACAGTATATATACGGTATTTGTATGTTATTATATATATATACAGTATTATATCTGATATTATTATTTAGAAAAATGAATCTAATTATTGTAGCTCTAGTTCTAAAATATATTATAATATATACAGTAGATAAGGTTATACTAAATGATAATATAATTATTTTAAATATTACTATATATATATACAATTATATATTTTAAATATTTTAAGAAATAATATAATAGTTACATGATTTTGTTATACTTTTTTAATAGTAAATTTTTGAGAAATTTATTGAATTATTCACCCTCTATATAACCAATCAAATTAAAGATTGGCGATCAGTTTACTTGTCATCTATTTAAAGCTCTATAATCTTAGCGGGTCTTTTTTTTTCCTAATTTGCTTGCAGTGTAACCTTTCTTTACTGTGTGT